TAAAACTAAGCAATGTTTTTCTTCACATGTAGCAGGGCAATAAAAGCCAAGCAGCTGAGTTTTTAAAATACAACTGACAAATTACTTCTACAGTTTGTCATTCCTTTTCGCAGTCGGCAGTACACAGCAGCTAACTATAAAACACCAATGGATTACAGTGTATAATTAAGATTTCAATCTGAGTATCTTTGACAATAAAGTATGATATAAAATACTGTATAATATTAACTACTGCATTTCTCATTACTGGTGTGGACGAGAAGGAATTTTATGAATAGCCTCTTGTCAGACTCATTATTAATACATGGCACTGAAGCATTTGTCTATTTGAGCTCCTTTTCTAATCACACCACATATACATACAGCTGTAAACATAACAAGAATTGCATGATGGGTCTATCCAAGAACAAATGCCCAAGAAGGAGAATTTGCAGATGGCCTTTTCTCCCCATAAAAGATTTCCCACAGAATTTTCCCCATCTGAGACTGACAACACAGTAATTAAGTCCATATGTTTCAAAGTTCCCTTTGGTAAACAAGAGCAGGTTTGTTTCTTGGCAAACTACCATTCAGAGATGGCAGAGCAGCATCAATTTCAGAGTCTGTCTATCAGACATTAAGCAGGTAACTGCTTAAGAGGAGTTATATTCTAGAGAATATATTAGAGTAGAAGGAGAAGGAGGAGAGGAGAATATTCTTTCTGATGTCATCTTCCCTTTGAAGTCTTGTTTCTTAAGAAAATGGAGCTCTTACAGTCGATTTCTGCAGAGGATATGAGAGCCTACTCCTTCTCTCCTCTTCCTAGCCAATAATTATGAATCTGCAAGCCAGCTTCAACTGCAGCTGGGTACTGTTATTTTTTGGAGCACCAAAGGAGTAAAAGTCAATTTAACCAACTGCATGATCATGGGAAGGTCAAAGGCAAAACCATATCATCAATATAGTGTTAAGTATTGAAAAAAATAATAAAAACCCACCTTTCAGGTAATTCACATGCTGCTTTCCCAGAGATGTGCACAAAATATTAGCATATAAAACTATGCCAAAGCTGACCATCCATCTAGGGAGTATCAGTTACTAATAACTGACACGTTGCAGAGCATCTCTCCATAAGCAACACTGCAGAATTAAAACTGAAAGCATTTCAGTCCTTCTTGATAACAAAATAGTGACAGTACCACTTAAATAAGTTATGGGCAACGACTGCCAATCCTCTTCTAATTTCAAGTCGAATAGATGAGAGGGCACTGAAAACATGGCAGCTCATTTTAGGATAGCCAGTCATGGTCAGATGGCAACTTAACCTTTATAATGGCTAGTATTAAAATATTTAACAATTTTTTCAGAATCACAGGATCATTAAAGTTGGGAAAGACCTTATACGATCACCAAGTCCAACAATCAGCTCACCCCCACCATGCCACTAGCTGTGTTCCTCAGTGCCACATCCACACAAGTTCTTGGACATCTCCAGGAGCGGTGACTCCACCACCTCCCTGGGCAGCTTGTGCTGCTGCCTCACCACTCTTTCTGAGAAGAAATTCTTCCTGATATTCAATCTGAAAATAGATATTACTGGTACATCTAGAACAGTGGCAGCTATTTTATTTTTTGTGTGTTTCCCCCGCCCCGCCGGGTGGGAGGGAGGTGGGGGCAGAGTGCAGCCTCATAACGATGTATTTTTAATAATAGAAAAAAAGACTACAGATTCTAATACATTTATAATACTACAATTTGTCAAATATTTGTAGGTACTTACATGGTCCTTACCATAGTATCTGCAGGCCATAAGCTGTCATGCTTTTACACTCAGGGCAGCTAATGAGAAGGGCTGTACAAGTCAGTGATTTCATACAGACATTTTTGCGGCAGACCAAGACACTGCCTTTGTTATGAATTCTCAGTTGGCATCCTAAGCTTCTGGAAGCTCTTCTGTAACACATTATAAACTGAGAATACAGAAAAAAAAACCCTACAAAAAGACATTAAGTAATATAAAATCTTTTATTATTATTATCCAAGGTAATTTTTTATATTTTACCAAAGATAATTTTATTCTTTCTTTACAAAGCCGACAGACATAATTGGATTGCTTGCAGGTCAAACAGAGACTTCAGATGAAAAAGAACATTTTTCAGTGACTGGTTACCTGAGTTACAGTACAAGGTTTAAATTCAGACAGTATTGCTCTTCAGAGATATTACAGTAAGAAATAAGACTTTCAGCTCAAAACCTAAATCAGTGCTTGCAACAAAAATAACTTTCATGAACCAAAACAAGAGATACCTTACATAACACATATCATACTCTTCTGCTTCCCTCTACAATAACTTAATACACACAATGTCTTAAGTATTAGAAAAAAATATTTACAAGATAAGATTTACAAGATAAAACACAGTATAAAATTTCTTCTTCCAAAGATGTATTTCTTTCAATAAACAGTTTGGTACCAAGTGTGAAATTTCAAGTCTTACAAAAATCACTTCTCATTTATTTAAATTCATGAAGGTAAATAAATAAGATTGTATTGAACAAACAGACTGATATCTTCCACAGCTTTATGCAGTAAAAGCGTGCATCTCTTCTTGAGAGTATCCAAGATCCTCCAGACATCTGGAAGTCAGAAAACAAATTTGTAACATCAATATCTGGAATCCAAAATTCAGCACAGACAACTTCAGCACCTCTGCCTTGTTTTTATTAAAACACACACAGCGAAGTTTTCCTTCATTTACCTTAATAAATGCATTTAGAAAACACTTCATGACCATGTATGACATGTTAGGATACTAACATAATTCCTAAAAATAAGTAGAGCTATCATTTGATGCATCTCTGCTTTATTAAAAGACAACAGTTATTGTATTGGGCAATTCCACCCTCCATTAGATCTGTGCAGCTGTCCTCAACAATGCCACAGGAAAGACAACCCTTTATCTTTAAATATAAGCCACATAATGAAAGTATTTGGTACAGATGTAAATAAATACATTAATAATAATCCAGAGAACTGCTTGCAATAGAACAGCAGCTTTGATTTTTACTTCCACTAACTTAATTTATCCAGCTAACACCTACACAGTAAGCTTCTTTCCAATTATATCATTTGTTTCTCCGAGTAGTGAATTTAAAGCAGTACTTTAGAAAAAAAATAAAAATAAAAAGAGATGCTCTTAGAAAGTTTTGATAAGTTACTAGAGCTCATGAAACTTGCATACTGCTCTTATACTCTTTAATTAAAAGCTTTGTTGAAAAGCTCAAAATAAAGCCATTTTTGAAAGACTTTCAAGTCAGAAACAATATAGCTGGCACGGCTGATCAAACTTCACAGGTTCCTCATTCCCAAACTCATTACTTAAAGTACTCACTGTAGTCCCTGCTGTGTAAAAGGCGTTGGACCGCAGATGCAGATAAGCACCTTGGAGTCTTTTTTACTTCTTTTCATACACTCAGAGAGAAGAGCTGAAGAAATCTTCCCCCGTTTACCCATCCAGTCTTCTGCTGGCTCTGAAAGAATGAACTGAACCTCAAACCTGGAAAGCAGAAGAATATTCCAGAAATATTGTATCTTATTAGAAAACAGCAATATAAAATACTACTGAGACACTGCCATCTGCTGTGATTGTTTTTTTGCTCTGCTCTATTGCTACTCTACAATGTTAATTCTTACAGACATTTAGCTGTTCCCAGCACCAAGTCAATCAAACAGCCTCCACAGTTGGGTGTTCAATTATTTAATGCAATCTTTAAATGTTAAGAACAGGAGCTGTGTATTTCATCTTACAATAAAGAAATAAAAAACAGCAGGTACCAATCAAGATACTGAAGCATAGATTTTATTTTTCCATGACTGACTTATCCAAATGTTGGCATTGCTCAATTCACAAGCAGGGAAATAAGAATGTTTAGCCAAACCTTTGAAAATATCAGCACAATTTAATTAATGAGAAAGTGTTCCAACTTGTTTCTAAAACCCACTAACAGTAGTTATTGAGTGAAAAACAAGCACTTGTGTATCTGAGGCTGCTACTGAAAGGGAAAAGGGGATTTTGCTGTAAATTTGCACAATGTCTAGACTACAAAGCTTCAAAGGTGCCAGACATCACTATGTTATGAAATAATATTGATTCTTCACATCAGTGCCATGAAGGAACAGATGAAATTAATTTGTTCACACAATTTCAACTAAGAATTACATAAGCATAAACGAAACATGTTTGTTTCACCAAAAATTCAGGCATTAGTGATTTAACTAGTGCTAAAAGGGTATTGAAATTAAAAGGCAGCCTGACATTCCTATGTCTCCTGACATAAATATGATATGCTAAATGAAGGTAATATTACACGTGCACTACTGTGTTTTAAGCCACAATTAGATTGTAACTGAGAAAAATAACAGTGAATAAACAGTAAGTAAAAATTTAAGTAGGGCCTAATTTGAACTCTGAATTTCAAGCTAAGAATTTTGGCCACAAAGTGACACTAAAGAGACTTTTCATGACTCCTCAGTAAATTCAGTGTTGTTCAATGGATACACTACCCTAGTCTATTATTTCCCTCTCTTTGCATATCTATATATCCTATCACTTAGGCTAATTTTCTTCATCTTCAAAAAGCTTCTCTGACACTCTTAGCTATTATTACACCTAACATTCCATCTCCAACAAACATCTCAATCAGTGCCACACCAAATTCTTAGCCTCCCAGAACATAATGATATACCCTGCTGCTAAGCATCTGTGACCTGTATAACCAAATCACCTTCAACCTCCTGTCTCACTACATTCTAGGTAAGAGTTTCCAGAAGCAGGATCTGCCATAGCTGTTCAGTTACTGTATGTCTCCAGATGTGTTCTGCTATACACTGGGATGATAAAATTGATCTTCACAAGAGTTGTAAATACCTTTCATCTTTAAGAGCTAATTGCTCTAGCTGGTTTCTCCAAAGTATGTCATCATCTTTTTTGTTGAAGAAGATCAGCTTCACTGTCCTTAAAAATAAACAAACAGTATAACTGCAGGTTGTTCCTGTTAATGAATCAGAACTTAGTGGATTATAAAGAAGCTTCTTACATTAAAACAAACAAAAACCCATACTCTTCCATTCTCTTCTTAAATCATTTTTTGCTACTAATCCACTAAATCTTTCTGGATGTACTTTAAATCTGTTGGAACTGTGACCCCCTCTTCTAAATGCCCCTAACCTTGCCTATGGTTGCAACTTATCCTTCAGGAATCACTGTTTTTAGAAAAATAAAGTCTTTTATAGTTGCTAAGGCCCGAGTGAGAATACAGTCTAGTTGCTTTTCAGGATCTATCTAGTGGTTTCTCAATACTGTTTGAGCACTAATGCTGCAGTTAATACATCATTAATGAACTCTATCAATCTTTTCCGTGTTACATCTCTGCAAGCTGGTATATGTAAGTGGAATTTCAAGAAGCTCAAGTCAATACTAAATTCCTGAAGATAGAACCCTAACATATAGGAGCAAAGAAACCTAATTCATGCAAAACTACAGCTGTGAACCTGAGCTCCACTTTAGTTCAGTGCCCAACACTCTCCTATATGGAAAAAACTTTGCTTCCAAGAGACCAACAACAGCATTATTTTTACATGAAGCTGCACTGAAGCTATTATTTCCCTTCTCCTCCACTTGTTAGCTTGCAGAGCCATCTTTCATTCATGTCACATATGCTAGGATTTCTGGATTTCTGTGGAGAGGAGTACATGGTCTCCAGCTGCTTCTTAACTGCAATTTAAAAGCCTATGTTCTCCCTGAAGACATCACGTTTTTCTGTCTTTTAACCTTTTTCCTCTTTTGCAGTTTGGTCACAATTCAAGATACCAGCAAATCTCCTAAAAGCTATAGCAGATGGCAAAGGTAAGAGATCATCTACTTAAGAGAACACATTCATTTTCAGCTGTCAAAACTTCAGCACTGAGGTATGATAGTTATGTATAATACCAATCATCAACAGCATTACCAAGAGGTTTCAAATGCAGTACAAACCAAAATAACTTGCAGTATACAAGCTCTGGAAAGCCTTCCCAAATCAGTCATGATGAATCTTTAAATCCTAAAATTAACCCAAAGACCACAGGGTTCTTTACCCAGGTTCCCAGTGCCTGCTTCCCTGGAAACATGGAAAGTAAAGCTTACTTCAAGAATGCAATGCTGCCAGAGCTGGGGTGATGCTCCACCGCATCAAGCACTGCTCAGGTGAGGAAAAGAGTCAACAGAAACACACATGGGAAAGCCATAGAATTTATCCCTTGGGCAAAAAGGTAGGAACTGGGATGTGCAAGAAATAATTCTGCACACTCTTACTGATATTCTGTACTCATTGCATACACATTTATCTGGTGCAGTGCTGCTCAGAACATGTTATAAAGAAAATAAATACCCCCAAAACTTGGAATTAACTGCTAAGAGTACTGCTATAAAAGAGGGAGAAGGCAGCTAAATGGAAGATGTAGAGATTTAGATATGATCCTTATTGCTAGAGAAGACATATTTGAGAGAACAATGATGGAGCTTCAGATCAGAAAAAGAATGAGGAACTGTCAGTTTTTTGAAAGTTGATGGGAGTCAAACATACCGCATCATCCGGGGATGATAACAATGAACTCTGAAAATTGCTATGAAAGGTCTTAAAGAAGGGTGCACAGACAGAGGAACAAAAATGATCCTTACATGAACACAGAGGAAGAAGAAGTACAGAATGTTGTAAAACCAGCTTCTAAAACAGAAAAGAATGCTGACAAAAGTGGAACACTGTATTAAGAATGAATATAAAATTGATGTGGTAATTTAGGAATGAAACCTAAAAACAAAACAAGACAGCCATCAAAGAGAATGAAGAACAGACTGTTCTAGAGAAGTGTTAGCCCTCTGCTGAGTGCTTAGTGCCTCTGTGCCTCAACCTTCTTTATGAAATGCATCCAGCTGATTGTAGCAATACAGCACGAGTAAAAAGGAACAAAAATCTCAAATAGGAAAAAAATTGTGCAAATATTCTTCTGAAAGGAATACTGTGTCCTAATACAATCTGGCCAGTAAGAGACGAAATAAGGCTGAAATAAAATTGTTATGGCTTCATATACAAAAGGATATTGCAGACAGGAAGAGAATCGATTGCATTCCACGTTCAATGTAGATAGGAAATGACAGACCTAAAAAAAATAAAATGAGGAGACAAGCTAGACAGAATGAATGGAAATCCAACGATCCAAGATAATAACATCAAGGAAAACACCATGCAGGGAAGCTGCAGGTTCTCTAGCATTAGCAGTACTACCTCAGAGGCTCAGTCAGCACCTGACTAGAACTAGACAGAAGCTGCTTCAGTAGGTGATGTGATCATAAAGTCATTCAGCATTATCTCTGCAATTCGTGTTCTAGTGTATGTGAACCACATCTATGGCAACTGTTACTTTGCACGGTCACATAAAGAAAGTAACACTCATATATTTATATATATTATATACACAAAGTATACAAATATGACATAAATACATGTGTGCACATGTGAAAGAATTCTGTGACATTTGCTTTAAAATAAAAGTTGGAAAAAAAAAGTTGAGGGTAAACAGCAAAAATAAGGCCATCAAACAGAGCAGTCAGTTCATCAAACCTAGAGCAGTCAGAAACACAAGGCTTAGTACCTGTACTGAATCAACATATTCTAACTATTCTACCTCATGAGTCTCCATGGCAACTAGAAAAAAAAAATCATTTATTTTAATTAATAAGAAAATGTATGCTGCTGTAGCTTGAACTAACTGCTGCTACTGAGTTCCCATAAGAAACCATGCCAAAGAGAATTAAAATGAACACTTCTGGTCATCTTTCAAGGACACAGTAGACACAAGCACCAGCTGTGCAGCAGTAGTGTTCCAAACACATTACCTATTGTGTTTATTCTGCTTATGAACAACATATTAAGACTTGCACCTTTTACTATTGGTTTTACTTTCATATTATATTTACCTTACACATACAAAGTTTTCCACTCAAGAAGAAAAAGAAAGTCAAATTCACTTAATAGTGTTTCCCAAGTCTTTTGCCAGGTGATAAATTTATTTCACAGTGCCCATTTGCATGTGACAATACAAGATCCTTTGGAAAAGCCTTACCCTCAAACAGTACATACGCTGTGTCCTCACAAAACAGCATCTTTTATGCCAGACAACATGCAGTATAAGAATAATGTACGCTTTTAGATTCTTTTCTAGAAACAGATCACTGAAGTACACATGTAATCCTTTTCATCTTTATTATGAAGACTAGTCTTCAATTTAAATCCTTTATCCTCTTTCAAAATGTGCTTTATGAAGACATAATGAGCCAAAACATCCTGTGCTTATATTCAATAAAACCCAGTAATACAAATTAATAACTCTTACAAAAGTCTGAATTTAAAGATACAGGAAAGGAGTGTCAAATCCATAAAACCATCCTCTGCAACAGCTCTTAGGAAAATGAAGGTCAGGCATGCTTTCTATTTATGTGCTCACACAAATCACAACAGTCCACACTGACAAAAACAATCTATTAAGAAATTCCATTAAGCATGATGCTGGAAGCAAACCGTGGCTAAAAGCAATACAAAAACACCTTGTATCTCTTTATAGAATCATAGAATGGTTTGGGTTGAAAGGGACCTTTAAGATCATGTAGTTGCAACCTCCCTGCCATAGGCAGAGACACCTACCTCTAGACCTCTTTCAGAAGATGAGCCCCAGTCACCCTTTGCATTTCCTTTTGAAGTTGAGCTACTATGTTATTGAGTTTCCTGAACTCTCCTGAGACTTTTTACACTTCTAGTTTACATTACAGATTAAATAAAAGATACACATGACAAAACATTATTTTAGGGATCCACGTCGCCTTTTACAAGAGAACAGACCCAAGACAAGCAAGAATCACATGCTCTGCCTGAATGCAACTGAAATCCGTATTTGAAGACAGCAGCATGGTCAAACTCAAAAACAAAACAACAACAAAACAATAAGAACAATGGACCATATCTGGAGTAAATTTAATTTGAGCTCCTAGTCACATTCTTCTCCTCTCAAGAAGAAAAGATTTTTCTACGAGATACTGAAGAAACAGTTGAACTCCAATGAAAAGCACTTACGTCTCACATCAAACCACAGTTTACTCTTCACTGTGAAGTGGATTGAGATAACTATGCCCAGGAACTTGAAAAGCTAAGGGAAGCTCAAAATTACAAACAGTAAAAAAAAAAAATTGATGTTATTTATATGTCTGCAGTGACACTGTTCAAGGCAAATGAAATTAGTTGCCTGCTGAAAATAGAAGGTTATAACATGTAGAGTTACATTAGCAAAACGTAATCAAGCGGCATGCAGAAAACTAAATGGTACAAGAGTGAGAAAACTTGTGCAGAGATACAACAAAAAGAAAAGGTGCTCTGCATCAGTATCTCTAAAATAAACTGAAGAAAAATGCTTTCTTGCCCTTTGGTTTTGAAATCATTTTATTGAGGACAGCCCATCACACTTCATCTCATTCTTCATATGGATCACTTTAGCTTGAGCTTAAACCACAATTAGTGTACGTACCGGAGACAATCAACTTTAGCCAGAGCAAAATTCAGCAGTTTAACCATTGGTGTGAAGCCTGTGCCCGCTGCCAATAAAAAGAGGTCTTCTAGAGCTTCAACTTGTGACTTCTTGAAGTTACCTTCAGGACTGCTGACAGAAATATCATCACCTTTAAAATCAAAACAGAACAGTAATCCTTAATGAGATGAAAACAAACTAGTAATCTGATTTTTAAAAGATCCTTTTATACTCCCTTCATCTTTGTAGTGTTAAGATTCATTTCAGAAGGGTACAATATAAATCACACATGGATCATTTATGCTAAAAGAACAAGTGTTCAATCAAAATGATTTGTGAAGTTACTATTAAAAATCTACCTTATATCTGAAACATAAAAGGAAGTATATCTTGAGTCAAACAGATTTGCTTGCCTTTATTAAAAAAATACAGTCATTTTTATTTAAGATATATATACTCAAATACAAAACAAGCAACTAATATATTTATATACACAATCAAGTACAAGTAATTAACTGCTTGATACAGCTGACATATGTGCAAAGACAAGGCCAACCTCTGCAAAACTAAACACAAAACATCCTAAGCCACATACTTACCTATTTGTAGGTGGTCAAGTGCCTGCGTAAACAATCCACAGGAATAAATTTTGATCATTAAATATATATGCGCACCATCCTGGCTAAATGGTTCTTTGAAATCCAGTGGCAAAAAAGGCAATAAAGGTGTATATGGTTTTACTACTTCTGTCCCTAAAGAAAAGACAAAAGATAGCTGATAGAATAGAAAAACTGTATACAGTAAATTATCTGCAAACAGCAGAGGCTCAAAATAGAGACGTGTTAAGATATCGATGGTCATGTTCTCAGTTTTTCTTACCTGCAATGATTTGTTTGAGGTAAACGTGTTGTCCAATGGGAACCTGGAGATGAGTGCTCTTAGGCAGCATAAAGCAGAAGAGCTTGGTGTCATGGGTAACTTCTGTCTTAGAAACCAACTTGCATTTCCTGTAGAACAATCCTAAAAGCATCAATTGCCTGTTACTTACGTATCTTTTAATGAGAAAGAAAAAAAAAACAATAAAACCAACAAAAAACAATAAGAATACTTTACAAAAATATTACAGATAGATGCTTTTGTACCATTAAAATTATTTTTCTAGTTTGGAGCTAATTTTTTAGCCTTACTTTAGGCTCTTACCAGACTGAATCTGTGTTATTAGATAGCAATGACTATGAAGAAGCAGCAAATCAACACAATTTTTCTTTCAGAAAGCAGAACCATCTCTGTACCACATTGTACCTGTACTAAAGTCACCACAGAACTTCAGCATGAATAAAAATCTGTAGATCAAAACAGCTTGGGTAATGGAAATGAAAAGTAAGGAGGCAGAGCACCACACTGCCTAAACCCACCCAGCACTCTGGGTATTTATTCAGCTGACCACCCTGCATTGTTGCTGTTTTACTGCTACTGACACAGCAAATATTTCTGATAGGGCTGTCCACAGGGAATAATACTTACAGCTCTTGCAGAAAGATGGCATATATTGGCTAAAATATATGGTCTGGCACCCTTTCATCAACTACTATCCTAGCACTTATACTTGCAGCACTGATACTAGTACACTATACCAGAACACCTTGTGTATGCTCACAGGAATTTCTATCCCATTGTTTAAAACATCAAACAAGTTACAGCAGGAGGAGCTTACATAGATGACAGCTTAAAATGAAAATGCCCACGTTCATGGTGAGTTTTTTTCATCTTAGATAGACAAGCACAATGGCCTATCAACACGCAACTGCAAAGAGCTTTGCACATTTTTGGGGGGGGGGCCAAATATCAACATTTAAATGCTTACACCTGACATAAAATAAAACTAACAAGTGAAAAACAAACAGAACTCAAGGCAATGCACCCGTGATAGCTGCACAGATAGCGCAGAATAAAAATGCCAGATGTAAAGCTATAAAATAGCTTTAACTAAACAGCTCAGCTCTCAAGGCTCTCCTTTAGTACTGGTACTGTGTAAGGGAACTGCTGAGTCCTGGCCTGAACCTCTGATTGATAACCTGAAGCAAGCAATGAGTCAGCCACAGGAGCACAGGCGAAGGCAATTCACCTGTGCTGCTGGAAGGGGTGGAGCCTGGCTGCACCTCTCCTAGACCTACTTAAGAGCTGACTGCCAGTGGGGAAGGATCTCTTCTGGAGATCCACTCTATTGCAGTTTTGTAAGTGAGCCCAGGATATGGGAAAGCTTTCTATCCTCTTTTTGTTATTATAGTCTGCTTTGCCTAACTCTCTTGTTTATTTTGTAATTATAACATATTAATATTCATTGATTACCCATACTGCTCCTGCTGTTGCCTACCTGCCTGCCTAGAAGAGGTGCTGGTCCATAGAGCTAGGTGCAGGTACACAAGTTACAATACACCTTGTATCAGTTGTTCTACCTACTCTTATCAGCCATGGTAAAAATTCAGTAACTTTGCTCCTCAACAAAACAGGGCTAAAGTTACTCCATCTGCAGCAAAAATGCTTTTTTCCCCATCTTATTACAACTGATACATCATGTAAGCACAGCTACTTGCACAACCAGTATGTCCTTCCTCCACTCTTTTAAAAGTTCTCACGGATCTTTCTCAGTTGTCTCACAGCTACACACTGGAGTAGCATGAGCAGCCATTTATCTACAGGAAACCACTCTGGCCAGCAACATACGCGTCCACGCATCTTTCTGAAGGGATTACTCTCCTACTTGACAGTATGTTCTGCCTGTGTTAAAAGTGCTTCCAGCACTGTCACAGGTAAACAAACTGCAACTATCCAATCTTAATATTATTACTATTCAATAATGCAAAATACATTATACTAAACTGTAAGTAGTATTAAGGAGAGCTGCTGTGTTTGCAACACACTTTGTATTATTGGTTTCTGCAGTTTATTGGAGGAAATATAATATTTTCTTTAAAGACTTCCTTAATCTCTTATATAAAAATGCATCAGTTCACTTTACGAGGTCAGTATTACTTTACCAGGCTGGAAGTCATGATCATTTTACTTCCAGAATATATTTGTTGTACTTCACAAAAAGTTGTTTGCACACCAAACCAATTTCGCATCCAGCAGACAGGAAAAACAACTGAGTTGTTAATTACTATTTCTGTGCTCTTAGTACAAGAGATGGGGCTTTCTCACAGTTAACAGCATTTGCTCTATGGGAGCAAAATTGAAACCTAGGCAATTTAGAGGCAGGAGGCACAATTCTAAGCAAAACTGAGTGAGGCTAATTAAGTCTACACTATGCAAACAGAAGCCTCCAGTGTGTAGATATTATTTCCACACTGAAAGCAGAGAGCTGGAATAAAGGAAAGACAGTTAGCTGAACATTCCTCTTTTGTAACCCTTGGAGTATTTCAATTTTATTTCTTAATTAATAAATCGCTGAATAAAAAATTCTGGACCATGGTTTAAAAAGCCACAGATATCAATATACTTACTATATTTCCTCACATTAGTAATTGAGGAACTGAAGGAACTCAGCTCAGCAAGCTCTGACTCAACAGGTTCTGAAACTTGCGTAAGCAAAACTACATTCTAAAATAACCTAAACGTAGCTAAGAAATGTGCTTTTATACACATAATCTTCCTTTTTGGAGCACAATAATCTCTCAATTTTCATGGTCTAATTACCATAACTACAAGCCAGCAAGAGTGAACAATGTTTAATCAGTTCTTAACTTTGCTCTCACACACAAGGCAGTCTAAATTTAGTCAGCTTTTGAACATAAATAGGCAGAGGGTCAAGAGTGCTTCAGAGAACTGGGACAGTAGCAATAACATCAGAAACATCTTTATAATACATTATGTTATTGCATGGAAATTTCTAGTTTAGCTGGAAAAAAAACAATCACAGTGATCAAGGTAATGCACTTGAGTGCTGCCACGAGTTCATACCATTCCCTCACCACAAAATGAATTCACATGTAACCTCTACCACCCCCTACAGATGCAGCAGCTTATTTAGAGGTGGCTTTGAGTGCCTCGTTTAGGCATAGCTCAAGTTACAAAGGTACAGAGTGCTGGAACAATGTTACAGCATTGAATAGGGATGCATCTGTAGTAATAGCAGGACGTGGAGGTTTTTGTTTCTTCACTAGTTACTCCCACATCCCTTGTCACAAGGTAAAGGTCTACTGAAGTTTTCATACAGATAGAAGGGATATCAAGCACACAGGCACCCATGAGATGCAACAACTCTCAAGCAGTTTTCAACTTCCCCTATTACATTCTCCCACCCTTTCTGCAAGACTCAAAGGCCTCCAATTCTACTGGAAGACAAAACAGGAAAATGAAATCAGGAGGAAATAAACAACAAAAAAACTTCTACTGTGAATCTGTTCAAGGAGAGTATCTGAACAGTTTTCAACAACTCCAGAAAACATTCTTAAAAAAAAAATGAAGTATGGTCACAGAAAAGAAAAATCCTGGGTGAAAACATGTTGAACATGCCCTAAAATACTTAGAACTGCTAATGAGGCCATATTTACCTCTTTCCGTGCGCCTGAGAAGTGTATTGTGACTCTCCAAAGGCAATCCCAGCACTTTCCATTGAATATGATCCTTTTTCTTCAAAATAATCTCTACCTTCCCAACTTTTTCAGCAATATTTACTACAAGAGAAAATTGTTTCCTACTGTTACTTTTAGTTACACTTTGCCCAACAATATAATTTTACTCCCCTATCAAACTCAAGAAGGATTAGTCATTTTTCAAGAAGCACAGGATTAATGCATTATCTTATATTTTCTGTTATCCCTTATGCTTTATGGGGCCTTTAGAATACGTATAATTAATGTATGATATTTAATACATCTAATAAATATGTTGTGAAAAGATTCACAGTCCATCTGGTCAGAAATAACACGAAGTTCGAGTCCTTATTTACTGGAAATAGTTAATTACTACCACATACTTCCCTTTTTGCCAAATGGCTATTTGAATGAATAAATAAGTTTATGAAAATCCTATTCAAAACATAGAATGGCTTATATATACACACAACACAGCTCCCTTCTAATTATTTTAGTGATACTCCAAAGGATCAGAGCATCATCAACATTATTATTTTTTTTTTTTTTTTACAAGCTCAAGTGGCAAAATGAAAAAAAAGAATTTAATTGTATGGTTTGATTTGGTTGACTGTGTCAGAACCTGATGGTATGAAAAGCTGTGAAGTACCTGATGGATCAGAAAATTAAATGAAAGTTCTATATTTCTTCTAACATGGGAATGTAGAAAAGTTACAAGAGACAACTTACCAGCAAAGTCATCTTGAACTTCATGATCCAAGTCTGAAATAAAGAGAAACAAATTAGTTTAAGCAAAAACTGAATTACATTCTATATATGTAATACATGTCTTTATATATTTGTACAGCTTAGAGCAAGAAATACTGTGTAAACTAACATGCCTACAACCCTATGTGTCTTTACTTGGTCCTGAAATTTCACTCTTGCTTCATATCAGTCTCAGTGTTTTCTGCAAGCTAATGCATAACATGTTAAGAAAGGCATCATTTTCTTTTTTTTTTTTTTTTTTAAATAGTGACTCATGATATAATTATCAACTTGTATTCATCTAAATCATTCCATCTGCCCTTTTTGAATAAGGGCTTTTTAGTAAGTGATCTATAACACACACCTGAAATAGAGAAACTTGCATAACTTTCACATCAGTCTCTTATTACACTTTATTCCATATTGGTTAGAACATCAAATAAGAAACAGAATTAAAAAAAAATATATACATACTGACTAGATGAAGATAGGAGTTGATAATGTAATCATTTTCAATAAAGAGGAATAAAATTTAAGTGGTATATGCAAAATATATATGGCCTGATGTGAAGGTTTTAATATCGGAAAACAAAAATTAAGTATTTTCAACTGTAAAATCACAGTACCTACCAACTTCTACAAGATATGAATGATCATCCAGGATGATCTCTCCCCTTAGTCTTTTGTGTTGACAGTCCACTATCACCAACTCTGCATTCATACCCTTTCACAGACAAGGAAGAAGAGCATTTTAAGGAAGTTCTCCAAGAATTCAAGCTGGATCACAAGATCCTGTAATTATCTCTTTCATAAAATACATTTACCTTCTGCTTAGTATATATGACAACAGTGATCAAATCATCTGTTTGAAACCAGTCATAACTGTAAAACAGAAGTACAGAAAGAAAAAAAGAAATGTATACATATACAATTTTGTTCAGCATGCCAAAATATATTTAATGAGCAGTTTTCAAGCAGAACTTCTTTCACAAAGATACCAGCCAAACACATTATTTACTATGTTTTCAAGAGGTAAGCCCAGCGATTATAAATTTTGAAAAGAAGATCAAAATAAAAGCAGTCTAATTATTCATCCTAATAGTGCATAGCAGTTAAAGTTATATGCAGTGGTTTTAGTTACAAAGCATATGCATCCTCTTTGCAGTATATGAACCTTCCAAGAAAGATGGTTGAAGTCCTTGGCTCCAAGCAAAGTTATTACATTGTCAGAGCAGTTTCCAAGAGTTACAGGTTCTACCTTTATACCACAAAACCACAGTTTCCTTCATTTGCCCAGATTTAGGTTTTACATTCTCACAATTCCCAAGCTACCCAAATCTTGTAATAACTACAGAATAGAGTAAGCATTTGAAGGGCATACTGTATATTTCTTATTGCTTTCCATTACCATACACTTGCCAGGGTTTTCAAGACCTCTTTGGCACAGCAGCCTACCTATCCAAGGCAGAAAAGCTATACATCTGACTACATCTTATGCTTGGCTCTCAAGTGTACATCTGTAGTTCTGACCAGCATCATGAAGGCTGCAATCCCAGTAAGTAAAAGTCAACTCTACCCGCACAACTCTACACACTCCTTGTGTATACATTACTACTGTCTTCTCTCTTTCCCAAGTCCTAACCACTTCTGTTTAGTGTTTGAACTCTTGGAGAAGAAAGAAGGGATGCCCCCTCCAAGACACATTCCTGTTAGCCAGCACCTTCCCATTTGACACCAGGACATACCAGACACACATGAGGAGAAAAGAAGCAAGGACTGAGGAACAACTCCAGAAGATAAGCCATGTTCCAGTTGCAAAATGAGGAATGAACATGGTCGCACATAACTAGCTCAAAGTTTCTGAAGTTGCATTATGCAAAAATCAGAAAATAAACCTGAGAGATTCGAGGAATCATGAGAAGAAAGACACCTCAGTTACTTCATTGTGTTTTTAAAGTTTGCTTTGTTTTACGTTTTCAAACTGCAGAAACCTGAATAGCTCTATCACATCTTAAAACATTCCAGTCTGAAAAGAGGTACCTCTCCAACGCATGCCAATTATTACTGACAAATAACTCAAGTAAAAAAAAAAAAAAAAAAAAAAAAAAAAATCAGCCCACTTGGAATCACTTCCCAGGACTTTCCTCAAGAAGCAAAAGGCTGAGGAGCCAGTGAAAATAAACCATACAGTTGTATGCAATGCACGGCAGTAAAAGTGTTAGAAGCCAACAGACCAAGCCAAGAAATATGCTTCATCTTTTGCCTGTAAGGTCAATAAGACCTTTGGCAAGCTATTTAAATCTGAAACCTCAGATTAAACCCCAGCTTTCCTACTTGTGTTGGTAATGAGATACTCATTCAGCTGAAACATCAAGATCTAAATATGGAAAAAATCGTCTCTATTTACAAAGTACTGCACAGCGTTATTAAATAGAATGTTCAACAAAATGAAAACCAAAAGTTTACCTTGGAGTTGTATCTCTAGCAGAAGCACCCAGTACTTCCCTCTCAGAGAGCATACCTATGAAGGGCAGAGAGTTGTTAAAACACGTGCTATGATGCTCACTTAATAAAAATCATAGTAAGACTTTTTTCAATGTTATATGCTAAATATCCTTTCTCAATATATGGTGGTTTTCTTTCCACAGGAAAGTATTCATGGTCTTTATTTTGCTTTTATTCAGCATTCAGTCCAGGAGAGCAGGCTCCTAGAACATGAAGCTCTGTTGCAGAAATTAAGAGTTCTACATTCCACAGAACCCCTGCATGCAAGTTTCCTGGTATGTGTAAGCTGCTCTGTTTCATCAGGTATTAACTTGTCCTTTCATACTTTGTGACAGTGAAGCAGGGATAAAACATCTTAATCAATTCAATGGAACTATTTGTTCAGCTTTGTTTTCAGCTGATATCTCTCTACTTTGTGCTTTGCTAGGAATTTGGAAAATATAAAACAGAGATAACATTAAAGCAATTGCAATCCTTTCTCCATTTCAATAGAAGGAAGCTGTGTAGAAACACAATGGAAGAAGCTGCACTGACTGAGATATAATTTGCAACACTGCATGAATAGAGCAATTTCACCAGACAATGGTTAGGCAGAGGTCGAAGCTGGTAAATGCTGGACAAGTGAAAAGGATTCCAAGCCCATTCAAAGACAAGCCTTGCAAACTAGAAAAGGATAAGCATATAATGATTTAGGTAGGTGAGAATTCACAAGCTAATTATCTTCAACGTGCCAATTCAGTTTGGGAGTCTGAATAGAAGTTTAAATGTGCGAATTACATGACTTCACTATGTAAAAAGTAAATAAAACAAAGAGCACTGTTTTGGTCTAAACCAATCTGCCAAGACTACAGATCATTCATATGAGGAATGGGGCTTACTGGTGTTAAGTCATAACAAAGACATATAATGTATGCTTGGGCTGCCCTCTGTGGATAAGAGAAATTTGTGACCATACACACTATTTGCTTTTGTGAGGCAACAGAAATATACAGCTGCCAGAATAAGAACATTCTAGCAAACTAAGTTATTTGTTAATTGCTCTGAAGTACTGTAAAATATTATTTGAAAATAAGAAGTCACACTGCAATAAAAAAAGAAAATTATTCAGGTGATGAATTAATCAATTAAGGTTAGTGCTCTGCTGTGCATGACAGTCATATGGTCATGAAGAAGGACTGGTAGTGAATCCAAAGGCTGACGGCAGCTATGAAATGAAGGAGTTTCAGTTACTGAGAGAAACAAGCAAGGTAGTGAGCAGAACTACAACTTCAGCTTGTTCAGGGAACTGTTTGGCAAAATCTCATGGGAGATCAGATAGCAAGACTGCTGATTGATAGCCTCTTGGGTAACCCTCATAGCCACACCAGAGAGATGAGTTTGACAAGTTCAAATCTGAATAGGAAATTAGCAGGACTACCAGGTGCAAAAGGTGTGATCAACACTGCAAAGTACAACTGCTGGCTAATTAATTACAGCTGGCGTTCCTGCTGCAGACAGTAACAAATGAAGGGAAGCAGCTGAAACATTAAGTCCCTTCAAATGGTATCCATAACTTTTTTCAGGCTAAAGAAATAGGCTGACAAAAACTGCATGAAACTCAAAAGTAAATGCATGATTTCATAATAGAACGGGCCGAGGAGCCTGTCTGGATAAAAAGCAGTTTTGCAGAAAACTTCCTTGGGACACAGTAAGAAAACCTGAGCAAGCTAGGGCACGTACTACGTTACAACACTGTGATGACAGAAGCCAAATGCAATCTGAGCAAAAACACAGCTTATCAGCTTGAGGAAAGCAGTTCTTCCCCTCTATTTAGGATTTGTAAGTCTACATCTGCAGTACTGGCTCCGTTTTAGCCCTCCAGTGCAGGGCAAACGTTGACATGAGCAAGTCCAGTGAAGGGCTACCAAGCTGGTCAGCAGCTGAAGCAAAGAATGCTTGAAAGGAGGCTGAGGGAACTGGCCCTGCTCCATCTGCAGAAGGAAGGACTATGGAAAGGACTAAGCTCCAGATGTTTGTTCCGACCTGAACTATTTTAAGATTCTGTGAAAACTTTCTGTATCTGTTATTTTCTTTGTTCTCTGAAGGTCCAGAATAAGCTTAATCCATATTTATAAACTTTAAGTATTACTAAGAAAAATAGAAATGCATACATTACTTACACTAAAGAATCTCAGCTGGTTGAACCACAAGATTTAGTTTTCTGTACTTGAAGTCCTAACTCAAGCTCTCCTCCCATCATTCTTTCCCATGCCATCTGAGCTTATACTCAAACACCAACTTGTTCTCAGATGGTGGAATTGCCCAAGTCATTTATTTTACTTCTAATACTACAGAAATATGCATCTTAATAGTTTGAGCACATATGAAATTTGGTTTAGCTTGAATGTACAAGGTTGGAAAGCTGATTATTAAAGTATGTCTTTGATGCTTACTTGCTTTTAAACGAATGTGAAGTTTTCACGTATGCTTTGGAAATAACAGTGTGTTGAAATTTTGTTTGAAACTCAAATATGAAGAGATATCCAAGAACATATCTGCCTTTAAGACTTAAAACGAGCAACATATCCTGGAAACTTCAGCTTTCATTTTCTCTTACACTACAGGTTGTTGATTGTCACAAAAAATCAAGGATGCATTCAAGTTAATAGACATGAGCACACTACACAATACAATTATTATTTATACTTTTTGGATCAATAATGCAACAAAGTGTCTTCACCATACCAACAACTTCCTAGAAAAGAAAAAAATAAATAAATCAGAGCCCACACAGGTTTCTCTTTCTAACTTTCAGACAGTGCTGCTTATTTCCAGACTAATTTTGACTTAAATTTACAAGAGCTACAAAGCGAAACAACAACAGAATAAGAAAGAAGTCTTACAAGGTAAAAGTATGTCCACAACAGTTAAAAGTCAGTGCAAAAATTTTTTCCTGAAGCCATATCAAACAGGTAAACTGAATACAGGCATCAGCACTTTGGCAGCTTCACTGGAAAGCACAATCAGAATTATTTCCTGTCTCCTGAGGAGTCGCATATTCTAGACAAGAAAAGTTATTTCATGATCCTTCTTAACCAAGAAGAGATGAACACCAAAATAGATGGCATATTTAACTTACTTCTTGAACCAAAATGCTTGTGGTGTATTTAGTGACTAATAACTGCTGCCTAGTGATACAATTCTAATATAAAGTTGAGTTTGTGTTCCAGTTCTTCCCGCCTTTCAAGGAGGGATGAAAATGTTCCAATATGTTTGTTGATGAAGTCAGGCAGCAGACTCTGTCGCAAAGTTTGGAAAAAAAAACATTGTAAAAGGATATTTAGGAGAACAGGAACAAAAAAAAAAAAAAAAAAAAAAAGAAAAAAAAGAAAAAAAATCAGTTTTTCTTAATTTTATATGATATATGTTGAACTCAAAGGTATTTTTGTGTACTTCAGTGCTACTGCATACTGCAAAGTAAACTGCCTTTTGGAAATCAAGTATGAGATACAATGTTCATAGAACACAAAACAGCAAGAAGGACTGTAAGAACAGAAGAAAGTAAGATATCAGTTTGTATCCTTTCATGCTTAAAAGTCAGCCTCCAGATCGAACTGCCTTATTTCCCTTCACAGGTGTTCATTTTACTTCCTTTACCAGGAAACCCCCAGCTCACCTCAATTGATTGGACTTTATAAATCACATTCTGTTAGGAAGCCTCTTAGTATACTAAGATGACTAACCACTACTATTCACACTAATTTTTTTTCCTAAAAAGACCAAAATCAAATACATAGTTCTTGTACACTTTCAATCACAGCTATACCTGATACTCAAGGAGGGCTCAACAAAGGCTACTGCTTTCCTATCTCTGCAAGGACTAATGTCAACCACCTGTATCACAGAACAGAATATTTGCTCCTCTTAGAGCACATCAATTAACAACCTAGTTATTCACATGGTTACACCTCAAGTAATTCAGTCACGCCATGCTCGAGTAATATATTTCTATTTCAACTCGTTTTCCAAGTGATCAACTTCATTCTATGCATTATCCAACTTTCTGTCACATCTCTGCAATTCGATTTCCATGGCCACCTAGTTTTTCTGACACAGAGAAGAATCGCAAAGCCTGGCACTTCTGTAGAGGCAGATTTCAATAGCACATTTTTATTTCTGATCTACCTTCTCTAGCAGAAAGCCTGTCCATCTCATACTTCCTTCTTCCACACTACTGCGCTGCCATCTTTGAATGCTTTAAATCACTGAATTGGCAATGCCTGATTAGGATTTTGCTTTTTGGAGTTCCCCAAGATCACCACTGTCTCAAAATCAGATTCAAATGTAAAGACAGAAGCTGGATAAGTACTGTGCATTAAAAAATATTCAGGTAAGTTTAAGATTCACTTCCCATGTTCCTCCAGAAAAATACTTACCATTAAGCTGTTTTTTCTCTTCAGGCAGGGTAGAAGAAATGTCTACAAGCATTAAGAAAAACAAGCATGACAGTGAGAGCTTGCAGTACAGTACTTGCGTACATCATATTAAAAAAAAGGAGCCAAAGTAAAGCTCTCCAAACAAACCACACCAATAACAGATTGACCAGGATGCTTTGGGTAACAAGAAGTCACAATTAAATGTAGTAGCATAGATATTATTCCAAAAGATTACGTGTAATAATAATTAAAAAAAAAAAAACCAACAACCTATAATACAAAATGTGAGAAGTTGCACAGCTGAAGGGTAGGAAATGAGAACTTATCTGACTCTTACAAACAGCACAGATTTCCTTGTGCAACAGTAAGCTTCATAGCCAAGAAGCTAAGTCTGTCAGACTTGGAAAGGCATTGTTTGAAGACAACATACAGTAAACACCAAATCAGACCTGCCACTACCAAAATCACCTGGCAGAAACACAGGAAAAAGAAAACCTTCCTTTAAGTTCCTTCTCTCAAGTAGCTTTATTTACCATCTGAACTTTTCATTCAATCTCCAGTATGCTGTAGCTAACTCCAAATAACAATAAAACAAAACAAAAAAGCAGAAAAAGAAAACCCTAAGTAGATGAATGCATAATGTCAATTCATATACGTAGTGCTTGACTCAAGGACAACGTCATTGCATCTCTTGGCCTTATACCTTTCTTCTAGTTCCCTGGAAGTACTCAAATCCCTTCCACCTTGATACACATATCACAAAATTACAAAGACCCCATTCTGCATTCAACTTTGTTAAGAGATAGGTCAGAGGAAAGCAAGAGAATCTAACTTATTCTTCCTGCTCCCTTTCATGAAAACAAAAAGATGAACGTTTCTCCCCTTACTATGGGTTTCTGAACCCCTCCCTCTGTTCTCTCCATCACAGCAGTCAGGAATAGAGGAAGAATGCCAGTATGACAGCAGTAAAAGCAAGGCTTCTGGAACAATCCACCAAGCACAAGGTACCGCAAAAGGACTTCAAAGCTGAACAAGAATTGCCCTCATTAGAGACTTTCACGCTGAGGTGAAAACACTTCAGGATGAACAGCACAGTTCCTCCTAAACTTTTGTTTTAAAATGTGTTCCTCTATATATTCTGCTATACACTACTTCAAGCCATCTGCTAGGAGAGGCAAATAAGTCACAAAGTCACATTTGTCATTAAAAAATAATTGTCTCAGTTCAAAAATACATTCTCTTCTCACTTCACTTTAACACACAGCACTGAATTGGCACTGCAGATTCAAGGACACTTGTTTAAAAGTATTTCCAAGACACAACCCTTCCTCTCTTTTCCATGGATGATACTATACCTCTTTCAGCATATCAGTGACAGAGCACAAATAAGTGCACACATTCCAACTCCCAGGTTATGTCTGTACATAACTTCAGTGGTAACAGACACTGATGTGTCTAAGAGAAACATCATCCATATCAACAGGTACAGCCAACAAAGTACACATCAGCACAGATGTTACAGCTGAGTACCTTGAAGGCAAATCAATAATGGCAAAAATGTTTAATGCTGTAGAGGTTTGTTGAGAAAACTGCAGGAAAAAGGAGATTCTGAAATAATCTTTTACATGCCTGAGTACTGTTGTAGCTACTGCACTGTAATACTAAAGAAGGGATACTTTAGAATCTCTTGCTAGTCACAACCCTACCCATCAAACAGCATTCCCAGAAGACAAGTTAGCAAAACTATCACCAGCAACTTCAAAGGACTCTTAGGAAACATGCAAGGACAAGCTTTGCTCCAGAACACAGGAAACAAAACTAAAAATCACAAACCTACCAAACCTACGCTGCATACTACTGAGTATCGAACAGCACATACCAATACTTGCCCCACTGTCAAAAGCTCACCTCTGCCATGAAAAGAAAGCAATTAATAGTGTAATTCAAAGTCCCTTCTCTATACCATTCATACTAAATCTGTATTTTATTCTTTTTTTTTTTCTTCTTTTTTTTTTTCAGATCCAAACTTTGTCAAAGGCAGTCTTCTGGAAGGAGAAAAGACAAGAAGTGTTGCTGCCTGACTATTGACTAATCACGAGCTTGATAATTCACTATTCAAAAGCAAAAGATATATAACCCAATATGAACCACAAAAAAGTCTTGAGAATTTTGATACAAAGAATTTCAGTAAACATAGTCAAATCAACTTTATTCTTTAATTAATAACTTTCAAGCCTGAAATGGCCAAAAGAGACACCAGGCAGCCAAACCACTTTCACACAGTGTGTTACCTTCATCCTGCAAGTTTTATCAGCACAAAACAGATATCAACAGTCTTACTACAGAAGAATGCAGAGAGAAAATAAACACCAGAAAATGGACCATCGTAGCAGTCAGGAGCAAAGATATGTTTATTTTTTTACTGATTCGTTGCCATGAGAATTCCTCCAGTTACAGAAAAGTTAGACTAACAAAATTGGTAAAAGTCAGGTTTACTTCTTTATGTTTGTGATTCAGATGACAAAGTGGCAGTAACACATCCACAACTCAACTCCACGAAGCTGTTATGCTGTCAAGGTATCTCCTTGCATTGCAGCACTCAGCTTAAAAACTCTACAAAGAAATTAGCTGCTTAGCAACACAGAGATGTAAAATCCTATCTCCCTCTGTGTACAGAACAAAATCAACTTAGATCATGAAGTGACCTAAGTGCTAAGCAAATAGCCACGTTCCCTTGTCAGAAAAGAGCAGCAAGAGATGCCTGAAGTTGTGACCTACAGGATACCACAGAAGGTGAGAAAAATAGTTGCAAATATGAGTTCTGTCATGATTTCATAGCAGTTTTGCTAAGGGTCACTATTCAGTAATAGTATCTGGTTGTAAGATACTGGTATTTTTCACTGTGGCCTGCAAACCAAAACAAATACTGAAGATAAAGTCTTTAGAAACCACTGCCAGCATTTTAAGACAATATGCTACTTTCTCTCGCTGTCCTGGCTCTGTGAGCCTGCTGAATCAGCAACATTTTCTCCAACTAAATTGAAACTTTAGCAGACCCAGTAAGGAGTTTTCTAAAAACAATAACTGCGTCCACAAACTGTGTTCACAGATCTCATTTCAAATGCAACTTTCAAGACCTATGTTTGGGACTGAAATCATCAAAGTAAAAAAAAAAAATGACTTATTTTAAGATGCTCTAAATCACATCAGAGGGCTGTTCAGGAGAGTTTGCCTGCTGGGGCCTGAAAAAAGAGCAATCTTTGGAAAAAAAAAAAATATGTACCTATTTCTACAAACGCATAAACCTTTTCTGATGAATTACAGCAAAAGAAAAACATAGCAGCACGATATTTATAAATGCCTTCACTGGTAAAATAGTCTCTCCTTCAGGTATATACTACCAAAAGACTACGTATACGCAACAGCCTTCACCTCTGTATCAAAACACAGACACTCCTTGTAAATACGATGATTTCTTGCAACTTCCAGACAACTTCGGAATAAAGCATTATCAGAAATTATTTCATTCTAAAAGCCCTCACCTTTTGGAGCAGCAATAGGCTTGAAAGCCATTCTCCCAACAAGACATTCCTTCAGCATCGATTCATAATTGACCCAACGATGAACCTATATTAACAAAATTGGTTTGCACAACTTTTATAATTTTACTGTGTTGTAAGATACAAACACCATTTCTGCATAAAAGCTAATATAATTCATTTCTTAGTGTTTTGCTCTTAACATGGACACCAAGTGATCACATTTTTCAGTACGTATTTTTACTTATTTCACAGACAACAAGTGTTTAAACACACACACACACACACACACACACAGACCCTGATTATGTGACAGTAGCTTAATTCACCCATTTTATGTTTTGAAGTACCTGAATATCACAATCTTTAATGACAGAAAAAGTTTCAGAATAGTGTTTTTATTGCATTTACAACATAATAGAATTTGTCCTTATCACAAAGGAAATTAATCTTGTTTAGATACGAATATGGGGAAAGGGACTGATGAGGGAAACAAAACAGAGCAAAATAGACACATCGACATCTCCTGTGAAGTTGGAGCATTTGTTTGGTTGTGTCTGACAATCACTGAATTATTGGGAAATAATCTACTTTAAAAAGCCAAACAAAGTGATGAAAGAGCAGTCGTTTACAGACCAGAACTGAAGAACTTCCATAGGAAATAGATGGCAGAAAAGCCAACTCTGATGGGGCATTCAGAATAACACCTCAGGAAGAGAAAAGGTAAAGGAGTGCAGCGTGACAAATCTGAATGGTACAAAGAGATTTAAAAATAAAAACTTTCAACTGGACGAGCTAAGCAAACAAGATAAGGAAGTCCCATCCATAAGTTGTAGCTGCATTTTACACAGGTAAAGAAAAAATTTTGAGTGAGAGTTATGTTTTTTAGAAATTTAAGAAACACCAGCAACCTACCAAACTCTTAAATACATCAATATCTAACAGATATAGAATGCACAGGCAACAGAAATGCCTCCAGCACTGGAAAGACATCAGCCAGAAACTAAAACCTGGAGGTGGTTTTCCACTCCTGTCACAACACAAACAAAAATGTACCAAGTATGTTACAAAGTTCAGATACACTTTGTCGGCCTTCTGGAAATATCTTTGCTGCCAGGATTCCCATTTCTGAGTACATCACACCACACTTGACAGTGATTTAGCTACAGACTTTCAGGCCACAACTTGACACAGCACAAATTTTCAGGTGTGAGAATGCAAATTTCTTTAAACCCGAGCAGATTTGTGACTAACAGAGAAATATACCCAAATCCTGTGCTAGACACTTCATTTGACAGGAGATTAACCAAAACCAACAAAACAAAGTGCATCACATCTCTCATTTATTTACATTCATTCTTAAATATGTTTTGCAAGTCAAGACGTAACATACTATGATGTAAGAACTGTAAAGAAATGACAATTCTTTCAGAAAAAGAGGAAGTTCCCTTTCTGCTCTTCCCCAGTTTCCCAGGAAAACCCTGTGAGCCAAGGAGATGGGAAAAATGTCTGCTGCCAAAAAGACCAACTCAGTGAATCACCTCCTACAAAATCAGGTCTTACTGGAAGACTGCAGACCTTCCTTTCAGCCTTAAAGAAATGGTGAACAAACAAGAGACCAGTTGTCATCTTCTGATTTGTTCACAGTGAGTTAACAGCAGTCCCAGAACCTTTTCCTCAGTACTTTGTTCCCTGATAATGCAGTAACTAAGTTAATAGACGGAAAAACACTACAAGTATTTGTAAAAATAATGAATCTCTCTCTGGGAAGAAAATGCTTTTCAACCAACAGCAATTAGTCAACATGGTAATTTAGGAGGTAGGAATCTGAAGTTCAATAGCTTTTTCTGCTAAGAACCAATCAATTTGTTAAAATGGTCAAATTGAAGCAAAACCTCAACATAAAACTACACTTTCATTATTGACTTTTGATGCAATATTTAAATGATGTTTCTCTTTCAGCACATTAGTGCAATTCTGAACAGTAAACTATTGCCTACGCTTAGACCTCAAAAGGTTCAAATCATTTCCACTGGGATGACCTAAAATAATCAGGAAATACGCATATATTTTTTTTTCAAAATACCTTTTAGTGAGGAAGTTGTTCTCACCTGGTCAAAAAGATCTGTACCATCAGTTCCAGCTGCTTTCATTAGTTCATCCTCACCACCGGGATGATATTCCATGTACGGTGTGACATTGTATACGAGTCCTGCAGAAAATGGAATGTAAGATCATGTGAGTAACATTTTTTACAACCACTGCAACTATTCAGTCATCTCCAGAAACAGTGGAAAGATTAGTATCTATTACACAGTGTAATAGCAAGCAATATGATTTTCCAGAATCAGAAACAGAAGTAACACAACTGTATGGAACCTGATATGAAACACATCACACAGAGTTGTTCAGTAGGATAAGTTTTGTGGCACCGCAGGACTAACATCTGGAAAAACGCTGCAGGTTTATGACTAACAAAATAAACACCTGAAGATGAAGGTGTCACAGTCTAGTTAATGTGTATGAGAGCCAGAGGCCAGTTAAATAGAGACACAGAATTGAACTAGTTAGTGCAGGGAATTGTTTTTGTTATCTCTTTGAATTAAGTCACTGCTGAAGTGCTGTTGAAGTTGCTTCTCTGTCATTCATCACCTATGGAGTAAAATGACTATGGGAAGAAACTGTCTTCCGAAAACAAAAGCTACCACCATCATCAACAAAAGGTTCCCTCTGTAGATTCAGCAGTACAAAAAACCTGAATGCATTCTAAGCTCATTAGAGGCTGATAATACGGATGATAAATTTGTCTTAATAAAAGGATTCAGCATTCATTTTACACAAGCACTACTCTGTATTTTTAGTAAGATTTCTTAAAAAGTGCTTTATAGGCCTGGAATCATGAAGACCAATTACTGAAATGCAGAGTAATCAGAGTTTGAAGAATGCAGCAATAAACATTTAGCCACAGATGTTTCTTCTTATGGGACTACTGCAGGTCTACATAGCAAAATATTTCAAAAAATTAAACATTATCTGAACAAGAAATTACTAAAGCAAAACCATGCACTGCGTGCTTTTAAAAAGTTTACATTACTCCAGAAATGAAGGCATTCAGCATTAGGTGAGGGGAGACGTATTCCTGGGACAATCTTAATTGGTGAGAACAATTCTCCAGGACTGGAAAGGTTTTTTTGCACACTCTACTGACTTGATGTTCTGAAGGATGTAACCACTACGCCACCTTGTGCACAGGATTGGTTACTGCACATAAGAAAATGCACGAGGGAAAATTAAACAGTTCAGAACTCCTGAATGTCAACAAAACATTCAGATTTCCACCTTATACGTGTTCTTTAACCCGCTGCCATCCCATTTTATATATCTGTGCCCTACGTGACAACTCTGTTTGGTGATCATCCTACTGATTTTTGAAAAGTTAGCTCCTGATTCCCTTCTCCTTCACATTGCTCTCAATTTTTGCTTTTTACTACAGAGCCATAGTCCAACTACACTAACACAAATGCCTCAAAAAGGAAGCCTGGGGGAAGTAAAAGATTAGAAAGCATTTATAAGCTTTATAAGTGATTCTACCTGCAGCAGTAGATGTGATTTTTTTTTTTTTTTTTTTGAAAGGTATATAACCAAATCTACACTGCAAAATACATTTTCTTCAGCTCTCCTCTCATTATAATTCTGCTCATATCTGCAAGAGCAGTATGCAGAGCAATAACAATCCTACTACTCTGCTCAAAAAGCTCACTCTCGTTCCCCTTTTTGACCCAATAAAAACAGTCATCCTTGTGAAGAACTTCTTAATTTTGCCGGAATTTATGGATGACATTACATCAAATTCCTTAAGTTACCATTAAACAAAGCACTTTTCCTATACAGGTCATGTAAGTAAGCCACTCTGACCTTCTTAACAGCACTTCCACAAAACAGATTATCTCACAACAAATTCAAAACAATATTAATGTATTTTAACCTCTAAACAATTAAACAGCAGAGTGAGTACTCTTCTTTCTGTAAGACTAGAAACTTCATCTTCAGCACTGAGAATACTCATCTACACAAGGCTATTGCTCCAAACTACCTTTAGCACATTGCCATCTAACAATATACAATAATTTTGAGTTAAAATTTCATAAAAGTAACAATAAACAAACACCATGAGTCGGTTACCAAAGATATTTACAGTATATCTTCAGATATACTGTAGATATAGGCAAAGATTTATCTGCATGGCAATTATCATTCACCTTTCTAAATTGTATGAAGTGGTACGTGGGCTTACATACATGCATTTTCCAGAAACCATCCTACAGAATCTAAATAACATCTTTACATATTTTTATGATTCTAGATGCTTTAAAGCAATCAGTGAAAGTCTTCAGCTGCTAAGGATGATACACACTCTAAAGACTTCAAGTACATGTCAGCATTTTTAATGTCTTATTCTTGCTAAGATGTTGTCAGAAGAGTCAACCATACTCTTAAATTTTACTATTTTCACATAAGTGTCAGGTACATCAACTTTAAAGACTGCCTGAAAAAAGTCTGAAAGCAAAGAATAGCATTGTTACATAAAACTGCCAACTTGGACAAAGTTGTGTCCTACTACATCAACATTACACCTGGTCTAAACATAGACAACACAATACACTGTTCTGGGGTGAGGATTTCTGGGGGAGGTAGTTTGTTGTTTTGTTATGTTTCAAGTGCGGAACACAGACTAGGCAACAAATGCAAAAGCAACAAGGCAGTAACCAACCTCTTATACATATCCAGCAATCTTCCTTCTTGTTGTGCTTAGCAAGCTCATCTTCGCTCACTTCGATCAGCCTCCCTTTTAAACCAGTCAGGTCCTTTCCACTTTTAGTTAATCGAATCCAATCCATAAGACTCCTTCCTGGTTTTAAAGGAACCTGGAAAATAACAAGATGTATAAACATTATTCAACTCTAAAGGGAGAAAGAACCGTTCAAAATGCTTTTCTAAGCTCCCAAGGAAGACTGGGGCAAAACAAGAAATAACCCATACTCTTCGTGATCTTTTGGGAGCCCTACCCAGCAGTAAAGCTGTTTAAGGAGGCTTCCTATTTTGCAAGCCAGCCAAAAGATTCATTTATCGTAAAAGACTGAAGAAAATCGAGACGATACGGAAAGGCCGCACAAGAAGTGCTATGAGCCCCGCTAAGAGAAGAGCGGTAATGAGGTAACTACGCAGCCTCGGCCCGGCCCCGAACCCGGCCGGCCGCGGATCGCCGCCAGCCTCGCAGTGGCGCGCCGTGACGGCCCCAGGGCCGGCTGAGAGAGAGCCCCGACCCCGAGGGGGCTGCGCGGGCCCTACCTTGATGCGGCCGCCCGCGGCCGCCCGCTGTTGGGAGCCGGGCGCGGGGAAGGCCTGCGGCGGCACGTTCAGCATCCTGCCGGCCCGGCCTGCACCCGGCGGGCGGGCGGAGCGCTCCGACACAGCGCGCAGGCGCGGCCCGATGGGCGGGCGCGGCCCGTCACAGGGGCGGGTGCCTCCCACGGAGTGCCGGCCTTCCCCGCTTGATTCCATGCGGGCTTCCCTCGGGGTGCAGGGCTGTTCTCGCACATTCCGCTTCCCTTTCGCAGCGTCGCACAGGGCTGAGTTGTGGCGGGTCCCCTTCAGAGCAGCGCACCTGTGCTCTGACACGGGGCTCTGCTCACAGCGCACTCCTGCGGCCCCCTGCTGCCTTGCCATGTAAGCCCAAGAAAGGGGGCTGCTCCTAGAACTGGTGTTTACAGTCTGCAAAATAAAGGACCTCAGACTAAATAAATAAAAACATTACTCATCAATACTTTCCCTGTCCGGAAGTGAGACAGAACTAGAACAAAGGCTCAGATAAAATTACAAAACATTCCAATTTTATTAAGAATAACTTATATACATATAAATTATCTTTAAAAATACTGTAATACATTTTTTTATATTAAGTTTAATAGAAGTAGTCTCGATTGGCCTTTCTTGCCATCAGCAATGTGATTCTGTTCTTGCATGTTGCTCCAGTTCACCTTCATCCTCCTCACTGTCTGAGTCTTCATAAAAAGAAATCGTAGCTTGAACAGGAAAGTTTTTCAGAAGTGCCTCAGCTTCCTGATACAAGTAATCATAGCACCTTGATTTGGGCCAAAACAGTCTGAAACAAGCACAGAGTAAGTTTCCTTATTGTTATTATACATGCTACTTGAAGGCTGACAGTTAAGGAACAGTGATATTCTGCTTAGACAAACTTCCTACAGCATTCCTCTCACATGGCCAGTGACTGAACTAAACTCCACATATAAGTAGAAACATATTCTCCGGATTCTTATTTCCACCAGAAGAGAGAAAAAATAGTGCTTCACATGCTGTGCCATTGCAGCAATACTGCTCTAAACTCCAGGATCCATGCCTGAAGCTTATCAATCTGGTACCCCATTATCAGTATTCTTTTGGACCTAACCCAAATAACACTGCTCTAAATGAAACAGTTCTTCGAGAATACAGTGGGTGTGAGATAGCATTCTCAAAGTACCTGGTGTAAATCAGTGGTTTTATTAGAGATGGGTACATTTTGGGTGATGTTGCTATGGTCTGAGACAAGTCTCAAGGTGAAAGGAACAATGACAGCCTCAGAGGATCACGCTTTGATGCTCCACCAAAGTTTCATCTTTGTAAACAGAATCTCCACTAACTTCTTACAGAAGTGTTGTATGTAGGAATCAGGATGAAAATTGCTGACAATATGGTGTAGCAAGAGCTATCAGCTAGTATACATTATATATATTGCAACAACATCACAACTGTTTCTGCTCCTTTTCAACTAACATCCTCTTGCTTACCATTTGGAAGAAGCTGCAGGAAACAATAGAAATCCCAGGAGCTAAGAGACTAGCACAATGCAAATTAAGTGCTTACTACAGACTGCTCGTAACAGAATTGCACTAAGGAACAGAATTAGAATGAGGGTTTTTTTACCAAGTACGAAAATGCTTTCTAGGCAGTGGTTTAATAGAACACTGCCTCCTTTACAGCACAAAGCATACTTGCTCTGTAATATCTCATTCCCAGTGCTCCCTGCAGCATTCACTCATGCACAGGCACAGCATCAGGGCACCGAGCCAGTGCAATGGCTTACATTGTTTGACCTGCGTTTGTCAGAGCAGAGCCTAGGTTAGGGAGAAAGCTGCATCTTACCTAGAACACCTTGTGCAGTAAGATTCAGCACCTTGGAAGTAGCTGAATACAGATTTTCCTGCAGATTCAGTAAGAGCTGTTTCATTTCTCTCTCAGACCTGACAACGCAGATAGCATCGCTGCCTTCACCATTAATTCTAGCAGTGGTTACGTGAGCTGGCAGCACTCAGACCCTGCTCCTGCTTCTTGCTCCCATAGCTGTACTGCACTTGCAGGAAGACACCGCAAGGACCGTCCTCTGCTCCCTGCTTTAACCCTGGGCACGGCAGCGAGCCCCGAGCTGCTTCAGCCAATCCTGCTGCCACCACAATTAGTAAATAAAAAGTCCATGGGTGAGCTGCCCAAGTCCCCTTTCCCACTTACCTCACAGGGTGCGCGTATTGAGCCGGCTTTCCAGAGGCCTCGGCCAGCCCGCGGGGACTGCGCGCCTGGGGACGAGAAAGCAGAGGTCACCCCGCGGACGGCGGACGGCGCACAGCCCGCAGCCCTACCGCCCCACTCACCGCGGCGGGGCCGGGCGCCCACGGCCTCCAGAAGGGCACTGAGCGGTGGGGTGAGGAAGAGGAGGAGGAAGAAGCGAAGGGTGCGGAATCGTGCGGAACGCAGGGGCAGCCCCACGGGGGCAGCGGCACTGAAAGCGGGCAGCCGCAGCGCAGAGCTCCAACCTCCATAGTACACCGCAACCATATCTCATCGCACCCCTGGCCCGGCGGCTTTTATACCCCGCAGTGCCGGCGGCGGCGGAGCCCACCTCCCCCGGCTCATTTGCCAGAGCCGTCAACAAAAAGGCTCCGCGGGAATGCGCGCTGTGTCGACACGGGCGACGCGGACGCGTGTATGGCCCAAATGGCCTTAGGGGGGAGATGCGGCAGCTCGGTGCGAAGCGCGCTGCGGCGGACAAGTGGCTGGAAGTGGGGTGGTGGCACCGGGCGGGGCGGGGGGCACGGGGCAGGGCCGGCAGCCGACCCCGCGGGAGCGGACTTCTGATGTCGCGACGAGTCCGCAGGTCCCCGGGCGACGCCTGCGTACGGAGCTCGGGCACGGAGAGGGGAATAAAGCGCCGAGGTGGTGGAGACGGTGACACTGGCAGGAGTCTTTATTTCCCTGATACATCCCTGACGGAGTCTCGCTGATACACTCCTGTAACGTTTTCCGCCTCTTGAGATACGGTTTCACTAGCACAGCGGCTTTTTGACAGGGTACTCTTACCGAGAAAAAGTGCCTTGTTTTACTCTTTTTCATACACTGCTGGTGCTTTATCCAACTGCCGGCATCAGCTGCTCTGTGCGCACGGTTTTATGCCAGACTCATACTGCATGCCTCAGCACAGAGAGAGCTCCTTTCTATTTTTATTTTCTCTTTTTTTCCTTTCTTTACAAAACTGCAATCATTGATGCATGTGAGCAGCAGTAGGGGTCGTATATAAGAGTAAGCAGTAACAGCCCTGAGGAGGTGGGCAGAGTGGGTGGATTAATCTTCACTAGATTTGGAAGGAGAGCTCCAGACCCAGTTCATTTACTGGCCCATGGAAGATCCATGGTAATGATTTCGACTTTAGATGTAATTAAGGGAAAATGCAATTCACAGTGAAAAGTTCAACTTAGTGGGATGTTAGGATTAAACCAAATGTTAAAAAGAGTAAAATTTATGGGATTATTTTGCTGCACTTTGTGACTATCCATGCGGGCCCTCAACACAAGAAGAACGTGGAGCTGTTGGAGCCAGTCCAGAGGGGAGCCATGAAGATGAACAAAGGGCTGGAGCACCTCCCCTATGAGGACAGGCTGAGAGAGCTCAGGCTCTTCAGCTTGGATATGAGAAGGCACTGAGGAGACCTTATAATGGCCTTCCAGTCCTTGAAGGGGGACTACAGGAAAGCTGGGAAGGGGCATTTTATAAGGGCAGATGGTGACAAGATGAGGAGGAATGGTTTTAAACTGGAAGAGGGTAGATTTAGACTAGATATTAGGAAGAAATTCTTTACTGTGAGAGTGGTGAGACACTGGAACAGGTTGCCCAGCGAGGTTGTAGATGCCCTCTCCTTGGAAGCGTTTAAGGCCAGACTGGATGGGGCTGTGAACAACCTGATCTGGAGGGAGGTTAGCAGGGGGTTGGAACTAGATGATCTTAAAGGTCCCTTCCAACCCAAACCATTCTATGATCTCATTTTCACTGTGGCCTAGAACTGGAATGATTAAAACCAAAGTGAGCAAAAGGCTCAGATTGCTGGTAAATATTCAATTTACCATTTGCAGAAATTGAGATGACAACAAAGCAGCTAGCACAGGAAGGAGAGTTTGATCATAACCGACACTGTATCTATTTTTCTTCAGTTTCCAAACAGCTTCTGTGAAACCTTGTCAAATGTGGTAAAGTGTAGAACAGATGTTTAAAAGCTGTCTGATGGCAGATTCTTCTCTTGCCTAAATTATGTGAGGGTCATTTATGTAGTTGGTATTTCTCTCTTGGGAAATATAACACATGCTGTATAAGAGGAGAAAAATAGAGGCTGAGTCCACTGTTAAAGAAAAGTGCAGAAGCATCATCGTATTAGTACCAACAAAGGACTAGCAATTTCACATCAGCATTATTTGTTTGATAAAGCATAAAAGTGAGTATCAATGTGTACAGAAAGATAAACTACGAGAAAATAACTTTGGCCAATGGCTGTTAATTGTTGCAGAATTCTCTTAAATATCTGTCCCAAATGAGAAAATGTCCCATGAAGAAAGTGTGATTTACCCATTAAAAACAAACTGACACAGAGGTGTTGAGAGGATAAGGAGAAAATAATGGCTAACAGCTGTTTCTCCCTGCATATTTTCACTCTATGTGACTCCTTGGCCTTACAGGTTAGTAATGCAGTCCTGTTTATTGACAGAAATTCAAACGTTTGAATTTGCTAAGAATAACTTGCTATCACTGACACCACAAAAAAAGAGAACATAACGTTTTGCCAAATTCCAACTGACCTTGAAATATGGGCCTTGACATATTTATATTGTGTAGCATCAGAAAGCATAGTTGTGAATTCAACATTCAGTCTGCTACAGGAAGTTCCCCCATGCATTCTTGCTTCTCCCAATTAAAGCAGTGTTCTCATTCCTGTGTCTTACTTCTTACTTTATTGTATTTAAACTTTTAAAAGAAGTATGAGTGCTGAAGGGATGGTTTTTCTTGATTGCACATGCATAACTAAATTGACTGTAGTAAAGCAAACCTGGGAGTCGAGAAATGATACATTGTACTGTAAATATTATAGTGGAATCAAACAGGAAGAAATGATGTTGTATGATTTTATTTACTCTCTTACACAGTAATAAAAATAGCCAGGCACCTAATAAATTCTCATGTGCTTGAAAATACCTCTCAAGATCCTGGATATTTTTTAATTAGTGCTTTTGAAGCAGGAAAACTCATAGGGTTCAACTGTGTTTAGCTGCAGTTTAATTATTATAGGTATCATGGTATAATTACAGCTGATTACAATTTCAAATATGGTATAAAGAAGTCTTGCATGGTAATTCTGAATTTACAGGAGAAGAATTAAATATACAGTTTAGCTTTCTCAGAGTATGTATCTTGTGGTTGGTATACCAAGGACTGTGTATCCAGAGCAAAAGTAATTATCTTGGTTTGCTTTAAATTGATTAAAAGCGCTTTTGTGGTTCTCTACAGTACGACATCTTGAGATGTGATGTGCTGTTAATGGGATAGATAGAAGAGCAAACACAGAGGCCTGTGCAGGTTTGAGCGTGCTACTACAAACAAAGAAGGTGTTCACAAATGGCTTAGAGCTACATTTGACAAGACAGTGCTAATCACACTTGGAATGGGAATATCTGGACAGAGAACACTCAGCTGGCTTTGTGTCAACCTTTCTGAAGGCAGAGAGAGCTCTCATTTATTAGTAAATTGTGGACATGCATTGCTTGAGTTCATACATAGAGAAAATCTGCTTAGAAATTCGTTGAGTGAGAAAGGAGAAATCAAACCCCCGCTTACTGAGGCTGGGTCGAGGAAGCTGTGATGAGCAGACAACACTTGATCCTGAGTGTTTGATAACCTGGCTTCTTGGTATTTCCCACTCTGACAAAACTTCAGAACTGGATTTTGAAAATGAAATGTATACTTATTGTTTGCATGCAGATATATAGCATACATGTATATGCCATTTATTTACATTTGGTCTATTAGCTGATAAATTTTTTTCTACTGTAACGTGAAAGTAAAGCATTAGTTTATAAAGAACTGAAGGTTTTACCAGTCTCTCTGTTCTCACCATTGTTAGTTGGAGGCTCCTGTTTCAAGCGGAGACATCCACCCCTCTTCTTCCCATCTCTCTGGATTTGGACTGGGATGCAATAGAATTAGGTGCCTTTATTGCATTTCATAGAGAAAATGGTTCTTCCCCTTCCTCTGTGTGGCTGGACTGGAAGGTTTGCCTGTGGGAGTGTGCACATGTGAGAATGTTGGGGTGGTCAGTGGTATCTGCTGGGCAGAAGGGAACATGTTTATGTTTGTAGCATATGTGCACCTACTGGAGGCCCCCCATGCACATGTGGCAAGGTGTGACCCACACAGCAGGTTGGTTCCCTCCTTTCCCTGCTCCACAGCACTCAACTCCCATCCTTAGCAAATGGCAAAGGATAACGTATGGGAAAGTGACACACTAAGGGGCTAAGAATGTGTAATGAGTTCGGCTAGTGAGTGCAGGGAACTTTTTTAGAGGATGAATATCATTTGCTGTCGAGTTCTGAGCACTTCACATTCCATGCAGATAAGAAATGAAGGCCTCAATGCTGAGCACCACTCTTGCCATCTCTTTTAATATAATGGGAGTTAATGAAACACTGATACATCGCACATGCTGGGGCTCTGCAGAAGTGTCTGGCACGCTCAGAACAATGCAGCACAATGCCACAGTGCTTGCTGCAGTTGGAGCTCTCTGTGCTGCAGTGTGGCAGCAAGAGGATTGTCCTATCACCTCTAAAGAGAAATGAGAGGCAGCCAAATGAAATGCAGTCAATCTAGCTCAACAGCTATTGACAGAAAAGAAGAAGAAATTAGATAATCATTGCATGTCCTGATTTGACTCCTCTGGCTGGTAATACAGTCCCTAGCTGTGTCACCTCTCCTCTCACAGTGCACCGTTCAATTCAGTATTTCTTCAGATTTGTTGCCTCCCTGGCTATAGAGATATTCATGAAAACAGAGAGGTTGTTTTTCACTTTCCTCTGTATGTCTAAGGCATCAGCACAGCATCAGCCCTCAAACAGGATGCATGCCACTAAATTTTGGATGGAGATAAGTCAGCATTTAACCTCCAGCAGGGAGGAATGAATGAAACAGCCATGCCTTGGAGAAACAAGCAACTGAGACAGGCAACATGAGTCCCAAAGATAGCAGTGCCAGCCCCGAGGAGCACATGCAGTGTGCTGTGCTGCTCTGTGGGTGACAGAGTCTTCACACAGGTGCCTGGACATGAGTCGTGACCTAGACCCCTGGCTCTTCCCACCAGGATGGGTGGCTTCTGGCAAGTGGTCTCAGGAGACTGCAAATCCTATTACGGCAGAATTCCATATTTTTTAATTGCTTGCTTACAGTCATAACTGAGCACAGGGAACATAGGGCACTCTGCGTGGGCTGGCAGTAGCCTGCCCATTCCAGT